ACTAGGAATATTTGAGAATTTCTATACTTAAACTTAGAATGCTAAGCAATGATCGTGAGATGTGTGTCTATTATATTTTAGGTAATACACATGAATTGATACAATCATTAGCTTACTCTAGGATAAGATGCCTAATTTGCTTTTATGTGCTAAATGACTTATAACATGCTTTAGGTTGCCTAATTTGCTATAAATTGATTAGATTTAAGGTCTTTTGTTGACCTAGAAATAGGAAATTTTATGTGTTCAGGTTTCTAAACGTTTAATTACTTTATTAGAACTGAAATATAACTTTTTGGAAAAATAAGGAGGATTATGCGTCTAAAACATAATTAAAACCTTCTTTATCATAATATACTCGTGATTCGGGTACACTGAACGATAGTTTGGTGTATAGAACGTCACGGTGAGAACTCAGAGCGGATTATGAAATAATAACAAGAATCAGCAGCCTCAATCCCCTATAATCGAGCGTGTACCTGGAGTTGTGTCAATAGTTGAACCCGTCATGATAGCGATGATTAGGGATCTGTTAGACGAACAAAGGGAAGAAATGAGACAACTTATCTAAGAGAATGGAAGAGAACCCAATGTGCCTGTCATGCAGCCTGAGCTCAATGAGGAGTAATATGGGGATGGAAACTATAGTAGGACAATGACTCATATGGAACCCCAAGTGGTTAGGAGGAATAACCCTGAAGTGGAGATTGAAGGAGATGGATGCAAGTACAAAGACTTTATGGCTACAGTCTTTCTGGAAGTCCAACACTAGTAGAAGTTATAGATTGGATCTCCGAGATGGAGATGGTATTTGAAAGCTGCAGCTGCAGCAACCGACAGAAGACCATCTTAACAGTCAGACAACTGAAGACTGGAGTGTTAAGCTGGTGGAAGATATTGGCTGACTCCATGCCGAAGGGAGAAGCAGGAAGGATGTCTTGGGAAAACTTTCTGGAAGAACTGAAGAAACTATACTGATATGAACAAGATCTATTGGAGATCAACAATGAATTCTAGAACCTAAAGAATGGAAGGATGAGTATCAATGAGTATGCTGCAACCTTTATGAAAAAGATGAAGTTGGTTCCCTTACTTAGTTCCTATCGAACTTTCCAAGGTCAATAAGTTTTCTAGTGGACTACCGCCGGATTCTGGTCCAACGGTGAAGCTTGCAACAACTCTAAAAATGTCCATATGGGCGGCTAGGAATGTAGAGACCCATATAAGGGAGAAGGGTCTGGAAAAAACTGAGGCAAAAGAGAAAAAGGAAGCTTAAAGGATCTTTATTATCCGACAAGAAAATAAGTTCTTGAAGTCTGAACCCAACTACAAGAAGTTTGGGGGTATCGATGAAGACAAGTGTTGTGAGAAGTGCAAGAAGAAGCACTTTGGGAGGTGCGATTGAGAAGTGACCTGCTACAAGTGTGGAAGGGTTGGTCACTATTCCAAAGATTGTACGTTCAATGATACGGTATGTTACGAATATGGATATAAGGGGCATATTTCAAGGAATTTCCCAAAGAAAAATGAAGCAACAAGGTTGAATGCGCCACTAAAGCCAAAGGCAAGAGCATTACAGATGATCCTTGATGAAGCAGATGACGATGCAAGAGATCAAGAATAAGAAGCTACCTAGCCGAAGTTAAAGATATAAAGTATTCATATAGATATTATTATGTAATGTAGCCTGATGAAAGAGGCATAGTGAATGATGAACTTGAATAACCATGTAACCATTTTCAAGAAGTAATATAGTCCCTAATTATGTTACACTATCTGATGTGTTAAATCGCTATATGATTTTCTTTTGTTTTGACTTGGAGGACTACGAGGCAATTCTTGGGACAAGTATGAGTAGGTGTGAAAGGTAGTAGAGGCCTATACTACCAGAAGAACATGACTCACACTTGGATCAGGGAAAGTCACAAGGTTACTAAGGGCCTATTTGATATGTTGTTGACTGGGTCCGATCAGCTTTTTCACTGACTGGGTGAGGTCAGCTTGTTTGATAAAGGGCTAATCATGTCTGACCCGATCCAATGAGCTGATTCGGTCATGAGAAAATGTATGATTTGGTCCTAGGAAAAAAAAGAAGCTGACTGGAACATTTCCCATATTGCCCTGATGCTTTCAACGCTCCATCATGAATGGCCTAACCTTTTATCCCTCTCCCGCTACTGTGTTCGCCGAATTTTGCTCCCCCTTCTTCCATCGTCGGTGCATCCTTCCTCCTCCACTTACTCCAACGCAACCATTATCCACCATTTACCCAGCGATGCAACCTTGATGACTCCATCGTAGATCATCAGCTGACCTTGTCCTCCATCTTCGTCGGTAAGGTCTGCAATCAAACATGGTGGTTTTCCTTAATTGGGTCAAAGTTTGATCTAAAGAATCATTGATTGATTTTCGATTTCTTGTTTATGGATGGAATTGGTGAATTCATTAGTTTGATAGAAATTTTTGGCGACCTGATTATTAATTCAAATTATCGAAAGTGCCTGGAATCAATTCGAAATAAGATGTCATTGAATTTTAAAGTCAAATTGATTTTCCGGGCCAAGCTTTCATTTTCCAGATGTGATTGAATTTGAAAATCGAGTTGAATTTGATTATTGATTCTTGATTCAATTTGTGGAATTACTGCTAGAACATGTTCTTGAAATAAACATGTTCTGGAAGATGTTTGTGATGTAATGCTTTCAGGCCTTTTGAGGTTTGTCTTTCTACTGTTATTTTGCTGCTAAATGAAGGTCTTAGCAAACAAACAACTGATGAAGGACTTAAAGAATTCTTTGGAAAGTTTCGTGAAGTTGTTTGTGGTTGTTTCTTCTCTATGAATTATGATTTTGATTCATAAATGTGATGTTTTTTTTTATCTAATTATATTTTTTGATTATGACGTAAATAGACTTGCACAGATGTACAAGAAATTGGTCATAAAGGTTTCAAATTTTCTATTCTTTATTGAGTTGAATTGGGTTTTTTTTGTCATCCCTTTGTTTTCTTATTTTTGGGAAGATATGGTCTTTGGATTGTTATATCAAGATGATGATTTATGGATAACAAAATTTTGAAGGTCGGTGGAAAAGCTAATACAAATGTTGGTGGAAAAGAAAAAGCTTGAATGTTGTATTTATTTTTACAATTCTCAAATAAATGAAAGTACGTTGCGATTAATATTGGTTATAGAGTTTTATGCTAATTCCAATATGTGTTGTGTTTCAGATATTACAAGGGATAAATAGTCATTTTGCACAGTTAGTCAGATACAAAATCAAACAACAAGTTTCAGTCACAAGTTAACTCAGTCAGAACTTCTAACCTAGTCAGGTTCTAACCCAGTTAGCAACTATCAAACCACCCTTAAGTTTCTAAGTAGTTGAGCTATTTTCTTCATTTTCATCATTACATTTGTTCTGATAATGACTACAAAGATAAATATTATTCCTACCCTAGTGGTCATATCAAATTGAGTCTGAACATAGATTAAAGGAAAAGATGATCAAAATGATCAATAGAAGTATCAGGATCGCCGTTAAAATTAAGCAGCATATAGCTAGAAGTGCTACATGCTAGAATGTGATTATATCACATTATAACATGAAGGAAGGTATATTCCATGTTTGGATCTGACTCCAAAAATAAAAGAGTCATTAGAGCATGACCGCTCGGTCTGTTATGGTAATCAAAGTAAAAAAAAATGAACTTATCATAGGTTAAGTCTACTCTAAAAGAAGCAGGAGTCTCCGATGAAGATCAAATTTAAAATGAAGAGTAGGTGCAAGTTTGAGCACCGCCAATAGTCAAGAAGTACAAGGGTTTTTGATACTTATTTGGAAAGACATATAAGTTACGATTATTACCTAGGATGGAAAGGTAACGTGTGAAATCATTATACAAGCCATGTTTTGCTGATGATCCTGAGACATATAAGGTAACCTGTTGTTCCTGTATCTACTTGATGTCTCTGTGACTATTATTGTTATGATTATATGTGTAGTGGTAGGGGTGAAATAGACCCGATACCGGTTGAAAGATACCGAAGGAGACCCAGTACCAGTTGAAAGATACCAAAGGGGATGAAATAGACCCAATACCAGTTGAAAGATACCGAAGGGGGTGAAATAGACCCAGTACTGGTTGAAAGATACCAAAGAGGTGAAATAGACTCACTACCGGTTGAAAGATACCGAAGGGGGTGATATAGACCCAATATGTTTTTTGACTGTTACATATATGTATGGTATGGGGTATTTTGGGGAACTCACTAAACTTCGTGCTTACAGTTTTCAATTTATGTTTCAGGTACTTCCGGTTCGAAAGGGAAGAGTCTGGTTTGATCGCAGCGCATCCACCCATGTTTTCACAACTTTATGATTTTGGGATTGTACTATGATAACTATTTTCGCTCTGATATACTTTTGAATGATTGAAAAGGATAAATGGTGTTTATAGTTGATTTAAAAATGAAATTTTTACCTTCTGATTTTTGGGATATTATAGGTACACTCAATTTGTTTGTAATTCATCTAGAATTCCTACATGCCATTTCACAAAACCTTTATAGATCATTTAAACTTTGAGACCCTTTTGATTTCTCACTTTTTGATCCCTAACTTGAACAAATGGATAAGATGAGAGAGATTGATGAGAGGTAGATGTTGGATTAGTATCATACATCAACTCGTTCATAAAGCAACTAAAACAATTAAAAACGTAATTACAATTTTAGTCCATTGGTAGAAATGTCATTTTACTTGTATTTAACGGAAAATTCTAACAAAGTTAACGGGTGGAAAAATTGTGCAATAACTGAAAACCAAAGGGACTCAAATGGCACAAAATAAAAACGTGGATTAAAATTGCAGTATTCGAAAAACCGTTGGGACAATTTCTGAAATTAGTCAAAGCTTTATTAAAAGCTATGGGAATGCTCGAAGGCCTTTTTACCGACATATAAAACTAGAAGTGTCAGCGAACAACCCAGTGACCCACATCAACACATTAGAAATGTGTAGATCTAGGTATCAAGAGTTTACGACACGTTACATGATCGAAGAAGATTGCCTATAAAACCGATAGAGATAACACAAGGTGACATCGATCCAATCTCCTGCTACACAAACACAAGAGTACTCTCACAGTCTCACCCACAACACAACAACGCAACCACCATGGTCAAAGCAATTAGAGTCCATGAGCATGGTGGCCCTGAGGTCAACGTTCACCTTCTTTAATTGTTTCTCGCTTTCTTTAATTGATTAAAAGACTAATGGTGTTAGTTTCTGTTACAGGTGTTGACATGGGAAGATGTTGAAGTCCCAGATCCAAAAGAGGGAGAAATAAGGTTGAAGCAAAAGGCAATTGGTATAAATTTCTTGGATGTGTATATGCGTCGAGGGCACTACCCTCAACCTGTACCGTTTACTCCAGGTATGGAAGGAGCCGGAGTTGTAACAGCTGTCGGTGCCGGAGTAACCAGCTGCAAAGTTGGAGATGTTGTGGCTTACGCTAGTGGGCAGGTGGGTTCTTATGCCGAAGAGAGAATACTCCCCGCAGATCAAGCGGTGCCTGTTCCTTCTTCTGTTGATCCCGTTGAAGCAGCTGCCGTCATTTTTAAAGGACTCACCGCATATGTCATGATCCATCGAGCCTTTAAGGTGACAGTGACACATCCAAATTAGTCTTGATTTATGTATCTGTCTGTACCATGTAGAGGATAAAACTTGCTTAAATATTATATTAATGGAGCAACGATTTCGATAGGTTGAACCTGGACATACAATCCTCGTACATGCGGCGGCAGGTGGAGTCGGATATCTGATATGTCAATGGGCAAGTGCGATTGGAGCCACCGTCATCGGAACAGTGTCTACCAAGGAGAAGGCTGTGCAGGCGAAAGAAGATGGATGTGAGCATGTGATTCTTTACAAAGATGAGGACTTTGTGGAACGTGTGATGGAGATAACATCAGGCAAAGGGGTGGATGTAGTCTTCGATGCCGTTGGGAAAGACACCTTCAATGTAAGAATCATATTAATCAATTCCATATGTAATTCTTTTTGATTTGTTGGCTCCAATTTATAAATGTAACTAACAACGATGATGCCTGTGTACGTTTTGAAATATGAAGGGATCATTGGAGTGCTTAAAAACACGAGGATACATGGTGGTTTATGGGACTGCATCAGGTGAACCAGAGCCGATAAGTGTGACTAAACTAGCACCCAGATCCATCTATCTTACATTTGCATCACTCGGGGAATACATCGGAGGTAATCGAGAACGTCTGCTTATAGCTGCTGAAGCCTTGTATTCTAATGTTGCAAAGGGAGTATTGAAGGTTCGTGTTAATCATAAGTATCCTCTGTCTCAAGCAACCCAAGCTCACATTGCTCTTGAGAGTCGAAAAACAACGGGTTCGGTTGTGTTGATCCCAGACGAGGAGTGATTCCCTTCATGTTTTCTGTTTTAGATTTATTTACTTTTTGTTATTTCCATGTAATTCTCTTGTGCATTAAAGTAAAGTGGTACGAATAATTGGCCCAATAAGGTTTTCCACCGTCTAATATTTATATATATTTATATTTTAGTGGTATGGATACTTTATCATCATTATACTTTTACTTTTTCTAATAGCATTAGGTATGGGTTCGTTGAGGTGGTGTTATAATGACATTAGGTACCTTATAACACCAATGGGGAAATGGTGTTCATGGTGTTATGACCATGTTAAGAGGAGAAAAATAGAGAGTTGAAATGTGCAACCAATCAATGTTTTCGTTTCAATATGTCATAACGCCAACAAGATATGATGTAACACCAAGGAGGAAATGGTGTTCATGGTATTATGATCATGTTATAAGGGTGCCACATAGACAATAACAACGTTTTGTGTACTCATACCGGATGCTCTAAATTACAAATTTAAACGGTTACATACTTATACTTATTCTCATTCTCATTCTCATAATATATAAATATCTATAGAATAGTTGTGTTTCTCTCAAATGCGTTTAATTTTGAAGTATGTTGTAGAAAAACGAATTGTAATAATTTAAATGGGATAAATGTTACTGTAACCCAACCATGTTAAATGTTATGGTTTAGAAGGTTTCTTTTTTTTAGGGGGACAAATTGTTAATTTACCTATTCTTAAAGTCATTATATTCAAACTGAAGGGGTGAGCCGGTAAACCCCGTCCTAGTCAGCAGGTTTTAACCCCACCTCATCTAAAAAATATGCAAACTAAGATTCAACGTCACCTTGTCGTTAAATGAGCTTGCCCTACAAATCTTTTGACAAAGAACAGTCGTTGTCTTGTTCTTCCCATTTTTGTCTTACTGTTCCCTAAAGTCTCGATACCATGGCCATTTATATGAAGATTGATGTTCACTTTGCTGGGTTTTTTACTAGGTACCCAGTAATTAGTTATACGGATGGAGCGGATCAAAGGTTTGAGGATGTCCATATTGTTGGAATGGACAGGAACGAGTTTGTGGGGTTCCTTGAAAGATTTGCAAACGAGAGGTGTGTGAATGTTAATTTTTGTATGCCCGAAATGGAGTTTCCTGATAGATTGATGATATTAGCTAATGAAATAGACTACCAGGAGTTCATCGAAGTTGGATATGATGTTGCTTGTGTCATGGATGTATACGTTGATCATTTTGGTGTAAATGTACATCAATGGATTATCGATGAGCAATTTGATGTAAGCGGTGTGGAAGACAACCATTTAGGGGTAGCTTAAGTTAATGAAGACGTGCATGTTGAGGGAGCTGTTCAGAATGACCCAGATGAATTGCAAGGTAATATACACGATGACCTTGTAAATGTAGATTGCATTCCAATGACTAAGACCATGAATGATGTGTTTTTAAGCAAGCTATGCCCCAAGGTGTAGTCAACCCCAAACAGTCCACCTCATGAGGATCCATGTGTTAAGATGGATGACAATGAGGCAAATCTTGAGGAGGTAACTACATATAATGAAAATGTGCATTGGAAAAAACAAAGACATGTCTTAGGTACGTGATTTGATAGTCCAAAACAGTTAAAACATATGTTATGTAGCTATGATGTTGCTAATGGCTATCAGTTGTGCTACAAAAAAAATGCCAGTAGAAGACTTTCAGTTAAATGTTGTTCTAGGCAGTGTAAGTTTAGAATGTGGGCTTCATGGATGAGTGAAGAACATTCTTTCCAGATTAAGTCCTTAATAGATGTGTATAATTTTGTAAGAAATTTCAAACTGGGTTCAATTGTTAGCTATGCTTGGATTGGCAGCCATTTCATAACTGAGTTCTTACATAAACAAAAAATGAGTGTTAGGCTACTTAGGGAAGAAGTCAAACAAACCTTTGGTATTGATGTGAGTATGGGTCAGTGTAGGAGAGCAAAAAGCATGCTATTTAGTTACTTAAAGGCACATTGGTTGAGCACTATGCAAAGCTTTGGTCATATGGTGAGGAGATAAGAAGATCAAACCCTGGATCTACTGTGAAAATAGATATCAATAGTATGCCAGATGGGAAGACATATTTTAGTAAGTTTTATGTATGTTTTGAGGGACTAAAGCATGGCTGGTTAGGTAGTTGTAGAAGAGTAAGAAACGTGGATGGCTGTTTCCTGAAGGGGTTATGTACTGGAGAGTTGATATGTGCAGTTGGAAGGGATGCTAATAATTTGCATGGGCAGTTGTTTGTGTGGAAAACAAAGAGAATTGGAAATGGTTTTTGGAGAATTTAAAAGATGACTTAGGAATGGAAAATGGTTTTGGATTTACATTTATGTCAGCTCAACAGAAGGTATGTGCCTTACTTGTATTCTCTTTTTAACTGATTTTTAGTTGTACTTTTTTACCAGTTCAACTTTTTATGTGTAGGGATTATTAGAGGATGTGAAAGAGATTTTGCATACTGCTGAACATAGAAAATGTGCAAGGCATATTCTTGCGAATTTCAGGAAAAGATTCTCCGGAGTACACTATGAGAAGATGTTTTCGAAGGCATGCAAGGCATCTACTGAGCCTTTATTCAATGTAACAATGAAGGAAATCCAACTTCTTAATCCTTCAGCCTTTGAATATCTAATGGAGAATAACCCACAATCATGGTGTAGAGATTTCTTTCAAGAGGGTAGGATGTATGATGTAGTAGAAAATGGATTGTCAGAGATCTTTAACAATGCCATAAGATATGCAAGAAAAAAACCAATCATCACAATTTTAGAAGAGATAAGATTGTATGTTATGGAAAGACAATTTAATTTGAGCATGAAAGGCAGTTCATGGCCTGAATATAAACATTGTCCATCAATTACAACATTACTTAATCAACTGAAAAAAGCTCAAAGGTAAAAAAAAAATTATTTGTTTGACTAACATCAACACTACTAAACATAGACTAACTTCTATACAATGTTATTAGATATTGGCAGGCTTTACTAACTAGTTTAAACCAGTTTGAGACAAGAAACTTTACAGAGTCTTTTGTGGTGGATTTGGACAAGAAGACATGTTCTTATAGAGTACGTCAATTAAATGGATATGGGTGTGTGCACTCAGTTGCAACAATCCCCTACCTAAACAAAGATGTTGGAAGTTATATGGATCCCATGTTCTTTGGAGCTGTTTACAGGAACACTTACAAGTATCCAATGCATGGGATGAATGGTAGCAATATGTAGCCATGCATTGATTTCATAACACCACTGCCACCTTTGAGGAGAAAAATGTCAGGCATGCTAAAAGTTAATAAAAGGAAGGACCCAAGTGAAAAGAGTACTAGACACACAGTGTCAAAGGTAGCGAAGAAAATTCTATGCAGTGTATGTAAACAAGTTGGTCACAACAAGGTTACATGTCCTCAAGTTGAGAAACCCAAAAAAGTTGATAAGCCCAAAAAACTCAGGGTGAAGAGAAAGAAATCAAGTAGTAAAGATGTTAGGGGGGAGGAAGTAGTGGTGTAAAATTAAATGAAGCTGCAGGAGCTGAAGAGAAAGCAAAAAACAACGAGTACACAGAAAAAGAAGCTTTCTGAGAGGATTATCAAAAAAATGGCTAAAAGGGTTGAAGGAAAAAATGGAGAAGGCAATTCAGGTGAACATCCAGTGGATATTGATTAGGGAAAACTGGTTGTGTGATGTTTAATTTAAGTTTGCTTGTTAGACTACTATGTTGGTTGGGTTTAACTTTGATGAATGTTATGAACGAAACTTGCTTGTTCGACTAATATGTTTATTTTCATTTGCATGTATGAATGTAATGGACGTGCATGGTTATATGAAGCATAGTATATGTTATTGTATTATAATGTGGTCTAATTACTAGTACAATTGTTGTATGTTGTATATTATTGTATTTGTATGTGGGTGCAAGTGTTTTATATTGTAAGTTACATGTTGGATCTTATTGTATGGACTCTTATATCACAAAGATAAACAATTGTATGTGTAATGTGCACACAACACAATAACATTTTCATTTAATTAAAAATCAATTTCAAATCCATTACAAATCCATTACACATACATTGTTAAACATAACAGGAAGCATGAAATTAGAATGTTGAATATAACAAGAAAAATCCATTACAACTTATAGACTAATATGACAAAGAAAACATCCCAACTTAGAAATAACCAAATCTTCAGCTTCCTAACATCCGATTGAATCTTCTTATTTGACCTAACCAAAGTTGTAAAATACTTTTCATCAGCACTTGTGTTCGTAGTCTCCACTTTCGTCTGCCCAACATATAAACCCATCACGAGGACCCTAAAAATAAAAATTTTAGGAGTATGTAAATCTAGGTCAATAGCGGAATGAAAATGCAAATGAAATTGTACATTTTTTAGACAAGCATAGAAGAGTCGAACAGGGTTGAACGGAATAGTTGGAGTTCTTATTATTGCATCAAATCCACATGAGCATGCCACCATTTTCATCGATCCCTTCATTTTAGTAAGGTCAGTTGAAAAAAAACAAGAAGAAGAGAGAAAATAAAGGTAAAAATGCCCACATTTGTGTCTCAAATCTGTATATACTCGAGGGTAAAATATGAAAGGACGAAATTACCCCCTATTTGTGTAAGTCCCCAAATCTGGAACCAACTATTGATCAAACACAAGAACAAGCAATAATCAGTGAGAACAAGGAGTAGAAGCATGAATGATCCAAATTGCACACGTTTCTATTGAGCCGTAAACGTCTGGTACAATGGACACACACACATACAACTACGGTACTTCTGACAATACTGACACATATATATAGGGAACATGAACCGTAAACGGTTCACGGCTGCAAACAACCTTGCAACCGCAAACACCAATTGAACCGAAAACCCCTGTTTTCGGTTCACCCAACCGCAAACCCTATAAACACCAAGACAAAGAATAACAAGACTCATACAGATGAATGCCTAGCCCAAACCAACAAAATACGACCTTATAGTCTCCCCCTTGGTTTGAGGCTAGCATAAGTTCAATCTTTTTCAATGACTAGCACGTCAGACCTTCCCATCGCTCCTAGCCACATCTTCTTTTCAATAATCTTCGTGACCATTCCTGTGAATTCTTTAGCAGAAGGCTCTAGAATTTCATTCTTGACCACACTCT